GGTGAACAGCCTAGCGTACGTCTCCATGGCTCAGTTGGTTAGAGCGTACGACTGTTACACTTGTGCATCGTAAGGTCGCAAGTTCGAGCCTTGCTGGGGACGTCATTTTTTCTCCGGAACTTTTTACTACCCCATTCATAAGAACCACAACGAAATATTTGACCCCATTCTGCATAAACATGAGGTCTTGTAGGAGAGATACGATATCATTTTTGTGTTTAGGCAGGAAGCTCGTTTTTCTTCAAAGACATCGTTTATCCCAAAGGTAGAATAGAAATACATATCGTGTTCGTCGACAGCCAACGAGACTGCAGAGCATACATATAGCGAAGAGGAAAAATAGTAATGAGTATAGGTTGAATTCCGTAGTTTGTCTGACGCGACTGGGAGGGATAAGAGAAGGATAGATCGATGTCCTCGGGCTCCGCGAGGACTCGCAATAAGAATAAGGGAATAAATGTGGCGTCCTATAACAGAGGACGACGGTCTCAATCCATTGATCAGGAATGTAATCGACGGACTCGTCTTCCACCTTGCCCGCAAAAGATTACAACCTGGCTGCTTTGGAGATCATAGCTAGCGTCTTTGCGTTGATGATATCGCCCATATTGTTCATGAACAGATCTTTTTCCTCGGGATGGTTGATATATTTAGGGTCAAACGCATTGGCTTCCGAGGCGACTTTCATTCTGTATTCACCGGGGACAGCACTGATCCCTAGCCATTCGTCCCCTCGGCGGTTGAACCACGGTCCAGTGAACACGTGGTGCTTCGGGTCAGGAGCGACGGGTTGTGGTAGGTTAGGTTGTATGATCCTCGGACCTGGCCGTTTTCGTGGCTCTCCTGTGATGACTGTTGTCAAGCTTTTACCAGCATCGAAACTCTTCGAGCGTCCCCTGCCTGTGTTACTGTGATGTTGTTGCTGTTGTTGGGGAGCTTTTACGGTCCGAGCACGTTTAGGTGCCATGGTTATACCTGCAGATGAGGTGCTCGTGATCGTAGTGTCTAGCGTTGGTGCAGGGGATGGACTTGGACTTGGATTAGCAACATAGAGTTGAGAAGATGGCCAGACGAAAGGAGGAGGAGAAGGCGTTCGAGATGGTCGGGTAACCGTCGTGTTTGTAGATGCATTGGTACGTGTCGATCCGTGACGGGGAAATGTTGGAGAGTCGTCTGAGCTTGGGCTGATTGGCGAGAAGGCAATCGGCGTTACGGGAGGTGGTGTACGATCGGCTCTTTGGAGAACAGCTGCTATTGGTTCAAGATGGTCCATATGATTTCCTCGTATGCTCAGGGGGGTCACGGGACCCGCCCTTTGGCTCCCGTTCCTTGACACCCCGGCATTGGACTGCATATCGTAGTCGTTATAGCCGTCATGCCCATGCTGTGTCGATGAAGCAGAAGTAAGCAAAGTCACCGCAGATCGGTGGGGTATTCGCAGACCGTTTCGGTCGCTTTGTGGTTTGTAGAACGAGGGCTGACGGCTAGATGCTGGTGACAGAGCAGGCTGTGGCAAAGGAGAGAGGCGCTTTGGTTTTTGCGATGATCTCTTCAGCATGAAGATCTTTCCCATAGCAGACTTCCATCGATTCGAAGTCGATGGCTTGGATGGAGGTGTAGGGGGCCGGTGAAAAATGGGTGGCCCCGAGGGAATAAACAGCCTAGATGCAGACTCTCTTGGGGTAATTGGGGTAATTGGAAGCTCCTTTTCATCGTATATAGCAATATTGAGTTTCGGGGGGGAGAGAGGTTCGTCGAATTGTTCGTTGAATTGGTCTTCGTGGTCGTAAAAAGGTTGCTCGTGTTGCTCTGGCTCATTGAGGGTCGATTGGGAGCCCTGCTGTTGCTCCTGGACGACTTGCGGGACGACCTGCTGGACGACCTGACGCTGATTATAACGCCTTGGTTGCATTGGGCGGCGTGGAACTCTGAGAGACATTTTGAGAGTGCAGGGAGAGACCAAGAGCGGGATGCGTTGAAGCCTCGTGGTTTAGTGGTTGGCGTCAAAACATGCTTCCGGGGCGCTGATAATGAAAGAAGAAGAAGGTAAATGAGGATGAAAGACTGATTCTTGCGACTTTTGGTCGTTTAGAACAGTCGGGGACGACGACTGGGTAGCGTCAGGTCCAGGTTGCAGATCGTAGTCAATCGGCTCTAGCGTGATAGCCGGTCCTTTGGTTCGGGCAGCCTAGAGGGTTTAGGACACCTCCGAATATTCTGGACACCGAAGAAAGAAATTAGAAATAAGAGATCGTGGGGTTTTGGGAACTTTGTGAGCTCAAGAGAGGCAACTGCTCACTTGCCTCGATCTTTCGACGACACCGGCGCAAATAGAAAATTCTCGAAAACCCTTTTTTCATCCACCATCAATTAGTTGATGATTATGGACAGCTTGGGAATAGACACAGACAAGATGAACCCTAAGTGACCGAAAAGTTGGTCCAACTGGTTCGATCAGCATCTCATTCAGCAAGTAGAAAATGAATTGCGATGGACGAGGAAAGCGAACTAGGGCTCTGTCCTTATGCAGCGGGTGGAACAGGAAGCGATTGGAGCCGTTGGACGCGGTTATTACGGTTCATGTGGTCCCAAGGAAGCCATAGCTGGATGCATCTTCTCTGCTGGAAGCGACCTTCGTGAGAGTGTTATTTGGGCGACACGGTCAAGAGGCAAGAGCCCAAGCTGGTGTGAAGCTGGCGCTTGCAAATGTCGCTACGTTGGCGGCTCCAATAGTCTAGCTTGAAGACAAGATGGCTACAAGATCGATAATCTCACTTGAGGTTGTGTTCTGGGATACCAGGAGTAATCTCGGACAGCTCCTTTCCGCAAAGATTTTGGAACCCGGGCTACCTCGGAATCAAGAAGCCCAACTTCGGCAGCTGCTCTGTACCTTCATCATGGCTTGGACCTGACCACTACCACCCTCAATCAACCAACAAAACTCATATTATCGTCGCCATTCTGCTCACTATCATCGAACATCCTCAACGCGGCCTGTAAATGGCCGAGGCTTCGACATCCTCTACTGGACAACCATCGCCGAACGTCCTGGACGAGCTTCCACCACCTGAACTTCACGAAACGGAACTAGGTTTCTCAGACGACTATGATTCATCTGATGATTCCGTATGTAACAGTTCATGTATGCTAGCTCACTCGTTGATACCACCGACTTTCTCCAGGACGCGCTTTCAGACGCGGCAATCCCAAACCCAGATGATATGGACATCTCCAAGGTCGATGAGGAAGAGGAAGAGGCTCCCCCATTTCCTTTATTTAATATCTGGACAATGCCAAACGCTCGTATCCCAATCCCTCCTTACAAAGAGATGTCCCTCGCGTGTCGTTTCGGTCAGTAATCATGTCAATTTGGTATAAAACTCGTATTGAGCAGCAGTACCCTAGTTCCAACGGACCAGTGGCTCACCACACGAGTCGACCGAACTTGGACAGTCGGTCAGGTCAAGCACCATATGCTCACCAAACTTTGGGAAGGTCGTCGATACCAACTGTCGATACCACGCGTCGTACCTCCTCCCCCCAGAGAGAGAACACTCTCACAAGAGGGTCTCGGAATTACATCCATCACAAGCTCGAATTATTCCTCCGTCCTCTTCGCTCCTGGCTTAGGTGACCATCACAATTATGCAGCCTCGTCTTTATACCGCTCTAGCAACACGATTGACACTGTCATCAATGGTTCTGTTCCATCGCTCGTCCCCTCTACTGCGGCTCCGGATTCTCCCGACGGGTCCAGTCCCCCTCGTCAGCTGTCGAGAAGTATCTCCTCCGAACGTCTACGAGGTCGATCACCAAGCTCGACTAGCTCAAGAGGAAGAGCTCGTTCTCTTGGACCAGGTGGGAAACGACCTCTGTCACAAGCGACAGAGAGCGTGCTCGGAGACCTGCAGAGAGAAGAGGCAATGGACCGGTTGTACGAACGGATGGAAGCCTCATTTCGCATGAAAGTGCACAGGGCAGCCAAGAATTATCGTCTCGTCAGCTTCTCTAATGTAAGACCCAAGAACTGTTTACGACCCTTTTCTCTTGCTGCAAATGCTCACCGCACCCTTTCTCACAGGGAAACATTCTCGACGACAAGGACCCGCTTAGTTTCTACAGTCTCAAGCCTTTTGAACTCTTGGAGATCCAGCCAGCAGCGCGTTGCGTTCGGTTAGCACGACCGACGTACCTCGAGCCATACTTTGAATCAGACACCATGGTCCGGGTGCGCGCAGGGGCAGAAAAACACGGTATCGAATTCATCCGACGTCTGCGACAGATCCAGAAAGAGGACCGGGTACGATCCGAAATTGCGAAGAGTATGGCAGCAATAGGAATGGAAGGGGGGAAGAATCAACCGGGGAATGAGTGGGGTACCGGATTATCCGCCGTGACGAAGCAAAAGAACCTGGAGCAGAGGAGAGAAGAAGAGAAGCGCCGAATATTATTAGAATTAGCGAAGAAGGAGGAAGAGAAACGAAAACGGAGAGAAAGGAAAGAACAGGAGGCAGAAAAGTGGAAGTTTAGAAAAATGGTTGTTGAGGGTCACGATCTCAATATTTGGAGGGATCCAGTCCACGATACATTTCCAGAGCAGAGCTGGGATTTGCGGCGAGTTATTGAAGTACAAAGTACGACCATATTCGAGTTATTGTCATTATGTGTACTCACGCTCCTTGCTAGTACCACGGCCAGAGCCGGAAAAAACAGTGTCGTCGACGCAAGTGGCATATGCCGCCCTGGCTGCCTCCTCCAATCTTCAATCGGTCTCTACTCGAGCTCCTGATAAAACAAAGCCAGCGAAAAGCAAAGTCCCAGATCATATTCTCGACCAACCCACCCTTCATATTCGATTTTCTATCCCACTGGGAAGCGTGTATGCCTCCCTTAATCCCGCCGCTGCTGCTGCACTACACGCTGCGCGCTTGAAGCGCATTGCGAAAACAAACCCGGGGTCGTCGTATCTCGCGGAATCATTGGCATCCCTGGGTGCCGCATCGACCCGACGGCTTGATTCGACAGATCCATATAACCAAGGGATTGGGTTCGGAACAAGCACGCTTGAGGGGGCCGGTACGGCAACGCTCGTCCTACGTCTC